AGCCTGGTAACTGGTTTGCTGGCATTTCTTCTTATCTTTTTCCAGTTCTTTCTTAACTCTACCTCACTAAAGGCAGACTAACTGCCCGTCCCCCCCCCCTCCCCCCGCAACAATGTATATCTGATCCTTTGGCCGCTATGTTAAGACATTTCAAATGTCATTTGGTTGCTATTAGGTTAAAGACCAGATTCTTGTTAATGGCCTAACAAGACCTGGAATGGTCTGCTCTCTCCCTCTCCAGCCTCATCTTGAATCTTGTTTTCTTTGCTTTGCTTCCTCTGTTCCAGCCATGCTGACTTTCACTCAGTTCCTCAAATATGCTTTATTTTCCGCTGCCACAAACACGTTGCACATGCTGTTTCTGCTATACCACCTTCTGTCTACGTGACTCTTCCTATACATATATATATCTCTCACCTTTATTATTATTCTTTCAGGAAAGCCTTTTTCATCTCTGCATATGTCATTCCCTCTATTAGGATCTCAAATTGCCATCACAGCTCTAACCCGACTTTTCTACTGAGCAACCCTTTAGTAAGTCTATCTTCCCACTACTGTATAGGTCAGTGATGGCGAACCTTTTGAGCTCGGCGTGTCAGCATTTTGAAAAACCCTAACTTAACTCCGTGTCACATATAGAGATTTTTTGATATTTGCAACCATAGTAAAACAAAGACTTATATTTTTGATGTTTATTTTATATATTTAAATGCCATTTAACAAAGAAAACTCAACCAAAAAAATGAATTCGCGTGTCACCTCTGACACGCGTGTCATAAGTTCGCCATCACTGGTATAGGTTCTATATTTTTGGGACTATGTCTGCTTTTGCTCACCATTGTATCTTAGCTATCCATTAGAGACCTTAGCATATAAGAGCATTAAATAAATATTTGCTGTCCAAAAATCACATACTTGAGACTTGAAGTAAAAAACAAAATTACCTTTTTCACTACTATACTAACTTGCATAGAAAATTAAGATATTTTTTGTTTCTCTCAATACTCCCTGTTGTTTTGATTTTGCAACAATATTACTTTAAAAATGAGCACAATCTTTTATCTCTTAACATTGTTGACCTTTTAATTCTCAATCTTTTCCACATTTCTAGAAATATCAATGTGCTTATAACACTGAATTGCTGAGAAAAAATTATTCAGGTCTTATCAGAGGTGTGGTCATAGGGTTAGTCAGATGATGGGACAATGTTCCTGGAATGTGTGGTTGATTTATAGTACACAGAATCAAGAATGATATATATTTTTATAAATTTAAAAATTAGTGATGATATTTTTGTAAGCTCAAATGCTTAATAGCCTGATGAGACTATCCTATACAATAAAAGCCCAGTGACTGAAACGGTGGAACAACCAGAACGACCACAGCCTCTCACCCCAGCCGGCCGCCCCCCAGAGAGCAGTTAAGGGCGATCAGGCAGGCAGGTGAGCAGTTAGGGGTGATCAGGGAGGCAGGCAGAGACGGTTAGGGGTGATCAGGGAGGCAGGCAGAGACGGTTAGGGGTGATCAGGGAGGCAGGCAGAGACGGTTAGGGGTGATCAAAGTTGGATTTCTTAAGTGGGAACAGCCTCTCACCCCAGCCGGCTGCCCCCCAGAGAGCAGTTAGGGGCGATCAGGCAGGCAGGTGAGCAGTGAGGGGTGATCAGGGAGGCAGGCAGAGACGGTTAGGGGTGATCAGGGAGGCAGGCAGAGACGGTTAGGGGTGATCAGGGAGGCAGGCAGAGACGGTTAGGGGTGATCAAAGTTGGATTTCTTAAGTGGGAGAGGCACGCTTCAGTTTTAGAATTAGATTCACCTATGTTTGGTTCCTCTCTCTGTCCATTAATAGCTGTGTGACTTTGATTGTTACTTAGTCTCTCTCAAGCTCTGCTTTGTATGACAGTACAAAGGAGAATGACAATTTCTCTGTTGCAGGGATATTTGGATGGGAGAGTACTCAAAGTTTTTATTAATACTTAGCACATAGTTGATCATTGTTATGAAAAAGATCAGTTCTGATATTTTTCAAAATGTAGTATGTTATGGTGGAGATATAGTCTGAAGTTAAAATAATGATTTGTAAGTTAGGGCAGTTTACATAAATAGGTAAACCTGAAAGAATAAAGAGACATACAAGTATTACTATGGAAAAAAGAAAATAAAAATAAATTCCTATTATGAACAAGAAAGCTAATGTGCTTTGGGAAACACCTAACTAATAATTGTTTTACCTGATTCTCTCAATGACTTTTTAGACATTTTCTTCGGTTTATGTTTTGTTTCGTTTTCTCTAGTTTTTAAGGTAGAAGTTGACATCATTGATTTGAGGCCTTTTTTTGTTTTCTAATATAGGTGTTTAGTGCTTTAATTGTCCCCGAGAATACTGCTTTAGCAATAGCCCACATATTCTCATATGTTGTATTTTTTTTTCCAGTTTAAAATACTTTTTAATTTTCTTTTTGTTGTTGTTGATCAGCGGGTTATTCCGAGTGTGCTGTTTAGTGTCCAAATAGTTGGCAGTTTTCCAAATATCTTGATGTTACGAATTCTAATTTAATTACATTGTGTTCAGTGTACATACTTTATGTTACTTGAATCCTTTTAAATTTATTGAGACTGTGTTACAGCCAAGAATGTCATCAGTCTTGGTAAATGTTCTTTGTGCACTTGAATGTGTATCCTGCTGATGTTGGATAGAATTTCTATCAATGTCAGGTTTATAGTTTATTGAAGTTAAAAGTTTATTTAAGTCTTTTATATGCTTAGTGATTTTCTACTTGTTCTATAAATTTTTGAAACAGTGGTGTTTAAATTTCTAACTATAGTTATGGATTTTTCTATTTCTCCTGCAATTCTATCAAGTTTTGCTTCATATATTTCTAAACTCTGTTATTAGGTTCATGCACTTCAGGGTTCTTGTGTCCTCTTGATGGTCTGACTCTTTTATCACTATGAAATGCCCTTTATCCTTCACAATATTGTTTGCTTTGAAATCTACTTTCTCTGACATGAATAGAGCCACTTCAACTTTCTTCAAATCTTTTTTTTTTAGATATGTTTTTATTGATTTCAGAGAGAGTAGGAGAGAGAGAGAAACATCAGTGATGAGAGGGAATCATTGATCAGCTGTCTCCTGCACTCCCCCTACTGGGGATATAGCTGAAACCCAGGCATGTGCCCTGACAGGGAATGGAATGGTGAGGTCCAGGTTCATGGATTGACACTTAACCACTGAGCTACACCGACCAGGCTCATATCTTTTAAAATATCTGCCGAGATCCAAGCGGCCACCATGGGTTCTTGAACTGGACCGGAGGGCCGGAATAAAAGCATGGGTGGAGTGTTTGTGTGAACTAATATAAATTCAAAGTAAACATCATTACATAAAAGGGTACGGTCTTTTTTTTCAATAGTTTTATTCATTTCAAACAGGCCAGATCCAGCCCACGGGCTGTAGTTTGCCCATGGCTGGGCTAGAACCTGAGTTTGTTTAGGGTTGTAATCAGATGTGACTGGAGAAGTTATCAATTCCAGATCACAGAGGTTTGTAATGGTAATGGTGGCTCACTTCTATGAGTCTTTACTGTTTGCCAGGCATGTATTGTGAAGATTAAATGAGATAAACCTATTAGATAATAATCTATACTAATAAAAGGGTAATATGCTAATTAGACCGGGAGACCTTCTGGGAGACCTTCTGGACATCCTTCCAGACAAACCCATGGTGGCGGGGCCTAGGCAGAGGTGGTTAGGGGCGATCAGGCCAGCAGGGGAGGGCAGTTGGGGGCGAGCAGGCTGGTTGGGGGGAGGCAGTTGGGCGAGCAGGCCGGAGGGG